TTTGATTTCTGTCACTGAACAGGCAGAATATGCTTTTATCTCTGCTGAAGCTGTTTTACTCTATAATACTAGGTGTAGCCTTCTGAAAACTCCAATTACTTTTTCCTTTCCCAGAATTTCCTCTGTTTGCACTGACAGCTAGTGAAACTAGATTCTGAAACAGCAGAATAGGCTGAAGCAGCCACAGTTATTTGCTACTATCTAAAAACACGGTAAGAAGTGCAGGTACTAGGAAAACTTTTTTAAAAAAAAAAAAATCTGTTTTGGAGGATTCCTGTTCAAAAGATGTGCCTGTTATGTAAACAGGTCTTTGATGGAAACCACTCTTTACTTAGCCTCCCTGGCTGCAACTAAGTTCAAAGATTCCTATTAAGGTGTGCAATAAACACATGTATATTATTATCAGTTGAGACATTTGTCTGAAAATAGTTGTTCCCAGCTACTACCCTGTAAACCATTTCATCTCCACCAAGATTTCAAAACAAACCTATCTTCAAATGTTACAGGAACAGCTCCTGAAAAACTAAGGGTCCCTGATGACATCAATAATTCTAGGCAGCTTGTAGTGACAAAGCATCACCATGGTCTGACAGTTCTCAAATACATGTGTCAATATGGATTAAGGTTTGTGGGTTTTTTCCTCAGCAAATAAATATCCACATAAAAACAAACCTATATCAAACCAACAGCAGTAAAACTACTGTGGAACTGCTGTTGCAGGCAGACAGGGGGAAAAGTCCTAATGTAAAAGTAGAAACTGGGATCACAAAGACCACATAGAAAGCTGAGGAAAAACGTTCTCCATCCTGGCTAAACCACATGTTAGAATAGTGATTGTCTTCTGAGTCTTTATTGTCTTATCTCAAAAGCTTTCATTTCACATGACCTAGAATTTTCTAAACCAATGCAAAAAGACAAATTACACACCTACCATCACCATTTCGATAGCCCAGAAGCACTGCAGGATAATTAACAGTTCTTCAGTTCTGGCAAAAAAAGTAGAACACACTTTATAGGACAGGGACAGCTAGGTGAAGCAATCTGCTGCTGAAGCCATAAATCCCTCTGAACATGACAATAACTGAGAATACTACTTGAGCCTCACAGATGCAATATCATCTACATCATATACCACAGAGAGAAAAATACACCTTAAAGAACTAATATGGAAAGAAAAACTAAAATAAAGACGTGAAAATGCACAGACTGAAATTCCTGTAACCCACTCAGAAGATAACATCATCCAGACTTAACTTTCACAGTTTTGAGTCTACTCTGTGGTCAGCCGGTTCCCTTGGTTTTAGCTTTTCTGACCACTTAATATTTCTGAAGTCTCCTTTTCTAGCCCATAGCAATTGCCATGCTCCTTTTCTAGGCCAGATCAGTATGTTCACTTTCCTTTGCACTATTTCCTCTGAAATTCCTTGTCTGCCTCACTACAGAAGGCAGTAGATTACTGAGTGAAACAGGGGATACTAATCAGCCAAGAAAGGGAAATAAGAATTAAGCAAGATAACATCTAAAAGATGGTCCAGCATCTGTACCAGTAGCTCAGACACCCATCTTATTTTTGCTATGTCTAAGTCTGAAGGAGTGTATCAAAACAGGGGCAAATACAGGAGGAAGAGGAGAAGGATCTTGCTGCAGGACTGAAGAATGGGAAACTCTGCCTATTTCCCCATAGACTGAACATAGTTTTGCAAATACTTGTGAGTGAGACTGTCAGGTCACTGACAGACCTGTTTAGATAGTCACCCAGCAGTGAAATAATACACAAAACTCATGAAAGTTCAAGGCAGAAAGACTAGTATTTTTGGAGTAAAACATCCAACCAAAAAAGCTCACAAACCAGCTCTTGCTAAGCATGTTACATCTTCACTTTCCCTCAGTTATCGTAGTAAGTACAGACCACCAGAGTACCAGTATCCATTTAGCATTTGTTCTGTTTAACAAGGCTTGACAGCTCTGGATTACTGGCCATAACTAGGAAAAGACAGCTTTCCAGAGATCTCATATGAAAGGCTAGTATAACAGCCAAGGAAGAACCCAGCTACAGTGCTGCTGTTCTCAAGTATCTCAAACAAAACCATAAACATTTACTGCAGCAGTACCATACACAAACCAGCTAAGTCAGCCCGATCACTTAATTTGAGGGTAATTTATGTAACAGATCAGTTGATTTTACAAGGTTTGGTTTGAGAAAGGGGGAGTAATATAGTTGTTTTGTTTCTTCACTTAAATAAGAGAAGGAATTGAAAAATATCTATAGGCCAAATACCTCTGCTAGGTTCATTTTACGGACTCTCAGTCTTTTGCTTTTCAAAAATCTGTCACAGAGCTATCAGTTGACAGTTGTCAAAACTGACATCACTAGGCATCAAAGTTTAAAGTAAAAATGTCAGGCAGATATTTTTCTCCACAGTTCTTAACTTGCCTCAAGCACAATTTTTAAAGCAATTTTATTCTGCATCACATGACTTCCAAGCAAGGCTTGCCCATCAAGTATGCTTCTACTGGAGTACTTACTACTTTCTGTACAGGCAAAAACTGTACTTGTGGACTCATGTAGATCGTATACAGAAATACATATATGCACAAAGTCAAGGGGTGAAGATACAGAGGCCAGACAGATTAGTATCTGCTCTAAAAATCTTGACCAAGAGATTTGAGATTAATGTTGATTCACATGGATTTCCCCACACACCATTTTCATGAAAAAGATCAGAAAGCATCTTCTTTTATCCAGAAGGTGTTTTAGAATATCTGTGAGAAGTCCCAATAAGTTTGAAAGTTTATTTCCAGTTTTTCAAAGCCTAAATCACAGAAACTAACTAGTAAACACCTACATATGTGTGAGTGTATGTATACACAGAAAACTGTTCATCAGGAAACAAACTACTCTTGTTGGCCTTAAGAGACAAGTGTGCAAGAGAGATTCTGTCTTTACTCTTGAAAACCTGTACTCATTCTAGCTCGATGCTGGACATCTCTATGGAGACAAAAGTTGTATTTTGTAAGCCTAAAACTAGAACAAACCTGGAGGAACAGCAGTGAACAGCTATGTGACAGAGAGCAAGGGGTTTAATTTATGGTTTTCTAATAGACTGAATTGAATTTGGGTTCTTAAATGTTGTTTATATTAAAACCAAATCTCTCTTAACAAAGAAACTTGATTGTAACCATCCCTAAAAGTTACTGTCTAGGAAACATCTATACACCACAGAAATGAAGACCATAAAAAGCAGCGATTATGCAATATTAACTAGTCACTCTTAGCTTGCACATCGATCCCAAAGCAGCTGTTTGAACACACTATAAGCTTTACAGAAAAGCTTTTAGCATACTTAAATTCTTCCTGGGGCCACGTCCATTTGTAAGACAGGAAGTGTCCCCAGTCACATTTGATGGATGACAGATACTTTATCTCTGCTTGGTACCTAGTGTTACCACCTGAAACCAAGAGCATTCAGACTGCGTCCTCTTATACAAATACAGATCTCCACTTAAGTCAACACTTACCAGCAATAACACAAAACAGTGTCTTGATAGCTGCTAGTTAATCATTGTACAATGCAAAATCAATTTCTGCTACAAACTATTTTTTGAGATTTTATAAAGAAAATGTGAATAAGCTTACTAGAGTATACTGAATGTGAACAAAAACAGTGGAAGCAGAGACAAGAATAGAAACTATTGCCTGAGGCAAGCACTGGATGGCTAGAAAGTAGAAACACTTTGGAAGGAACGGTAATTCCTGCCCACCAACCCTGGTCATTGCTTCCCAAGGAATTATACTCTTCACCCATCCTAAAAGTTCCTAAACTGAATCCATCCAATCTAGGGATAGAAAGAGTGATCAATGATTTCATAAGAATGCCAAGACTTCAACTGCAACCTTGTAGCACATTGAGAGGACAGGACAGCAAACAGTATATGCAAAACAGAGCTACTGCTTTATCTTCAGAATTACAGTGAAATTGTAATAACTAACTGCAAAGAAAATTACTCTTTCGTAGGATCTGCTATCCAGTCTTCTGAACTAGAAAGTAAAAGTTTTAACCCAGCAACAGGAAAATTCAGAGACAAAAAGAGTAGCAGAAATCCAGCTTTCCACAGAGTCTGGAAAAAAAACCCCACCAAAATATTGCCTTCTGGCATTCTTTGGAAAAAGGTGAAGCCAGCTTTTCTCACAGGAGATATAAATGTATGATTTACTAGAATGCAGACACCAAAGAGCAGAGAATAATGCATTTAAAATCTTTAGGGAATTGAAGCATAAGGTCTTTGCCTGTTAAAAAAAAAAAAAACCAAAACCCAAAACAAAACCAAACACCTGACACCCAAAAAGCTACAAATTTGTCTTTAATTCTCATTGTACTATAGTAAGCATTCTGTGCTACTGTGTATTCCACCAACTGCACCCTGAGGAGCACTTACTGCAGTTCTTGGCTCTTTTGTCAAGTTGCCAGAGATCAAATGGCTGATCTCAGAAGGAAAACCAACACATCCCAATGCAAACCTACAGCTTTCTTTAAAATTCTTAAAAGATTTTGCTATGTAGAAGTACTGTACAGTTTCACTGCATTAGTCACAAATTGTCTCGTTCAGAAGTTGGTGACAAGTTATGCCCAAATATGAGACTTGGAATTGAAAAAAGGAAAACCTCAAAACACTACTATCTCTATTGGGTGTCAAAATATTTTTTAAAAAACAAGCAGAACAAACAGCAAAGTGTCTGATCAAGATTGAAACACTTAGGGAAACTAATAAACAAACTATATTATCATGTCAGTTTACTGCATGTGCACAAAGTTACTGTTCGCACAGGTTCTGCATAGATAGTCTTAGTTTACACTGACAGTAAAGTGATCTATTTCGCATTAGGTGAGACCAAACAAGGCATTTGTACTTTATGGGTAATAAATGAACACCTGTGGCCTCTCACATGTAGATGACTAACAGCTACTCTTGAACAACCAGGTTAATGCTATACTTCTCACCTGATCTTCTTCTTCATCCTCTTCATCTTCTGCTAAACGCTGCCTGCCCACTTCATACAGTCTGCAAACTGTATCCATGTTCATGGCATCCATGCTCCCTTGATTCTGAAGACAAGAGGCCCACACAGCAGTTAGCCCCAGGAATTAAGCTCAGCATTCATATTCATCTACTACATCTACTACACTACACCTGATCTCAATTACAGAAACATTACCAAAATCCTTCCGTCCCATTTACTAGCAGCAGTACAATCAGCACTAAAAATAAGAGTCTTTTTGGTTTTAAGGACCAGACCAAGAGTGATGTAAATATATACTTTCTGCTTCTTTCATCCACAAGTTACACTCTTACTAGTAGACTTAACAAAACCTTTACTGGATCCTTAACATGCTTTGCTTTAGTTCTCACCTAACCGCACATAATTTCCTTTCAAATTTGCCTCCCTATTATGTCATTGAGCCATATGCCTTGAGAGAATGCTAAAAGCTGTCATAAGCAAGAGTTCCAGAAAACAGCAGTCTGATACTCCAGCAACCACTGCTGCCACATGCCAGGAATTAACATTTCTAATGACTCCTATAACAGAAAATTTTTGTATCTTGGCCTCACAACCTTAGCAACTCCAACTTCAGTGGTTAAACATGAAGCTTGCCCTACTACAAATTCTTGACTCGCTTTTTTTGGTCTGTCAGGATCAGTGGTTTACAGAGTACTAAGTAGACAGGATTTTAAATTAGTCACTACACTTACATAGTCAGGTTCAAGACCCGTTAGTTTAATTTGACTTCCCCCTTAACAGACCAAAAGTTTCACTTAGTAATTTTTGCTTCAAATCCTTAGCTTCTGGGATTTTGCTAGGAAAGCAAGTGAAAAAGGAACAATAAGAATCATTCACAGAAAAGCTCCATGGGAAGCTCCAGGAAGATTGCATTTCCCAGTTATTCGATACAGTGCAAATTTTAATAGGAAATTATTGCTATAAATAGGAAAAAAACACGTTTCTCCCTATGCTTATGAGAAGGAAAACCTCTGCACATTTTAAAGTGGGAAGCGTTTGAAGAAGAGAGGCAAATATGTTTGGAAGTTTAAGGAATCAGAGGCAGAAAAACAAGACTGCTGTGGGTGGACAACAAAAAACTAACAGCATCTTTACTATCATCAAAACACCACCACCGCTTAGGACATGAGTTTAACAGTAGGAACTCTAGAATCATCAGTTCTGAAGGTTTTAAAAAAAACCAAAAAGCATTGCACTCAAACCACAGCTATAGAGACCAGAATTTATTCTTAGCTCTTTTACCTCAATGACAGCCAGATAGCAGTCCTTGCTGTCTGTGCACAAGTCAAAGATATTCCGCTTTACGTCTATGGTGGCTGGAAAACATCACAAAACAAACTCAGTGGTTAACTGCATATTACTTAATGCTCGCTGAAAGGAAAGACCTAACAATATATGTCTAAAAGCAGATAAAAATGTTGGGACAAGAAACAACAGCTGAAATAAAAGTGAAATGAACATTTGTAACTGATTCAACCTGTAATAAAGAATAGAAATACTGAAGACTGTCATAAAAAATAGCCAGATAAATTCTTAACCTGCTCTGCACAGTGCCTTCTCCCTTGATAATACATTTATTGGCTTCTTGAAGCACAGTAAACAACAGATAATCTTCCAGGATAGGTGGCAACCAAGGGACTGAGTTGTGAGCCATGTCTCCTTTCAATAGCAAAAGCCACATTTGCTTATGTCTGTAGCAGCAATTAGCTTAGCTCCAGGAGCTTTGCAAGCTGGAGGCCAAACTGACAGCATTTTGAACAACCAGCCTGGGGAAATGCTGTTGGGAAAAGGAAAAAAAAATGGGGAGGGGAAAGAGGGAGGGGAAAAAAATTCAAAAAAAGGAAAAAAAAGGGAAAAAAAAAAAAGCAGCCCTTCCTGAAATGAGACCAATGACATCTTGGCCAAATGACCCAGATCTCAGATTATGCCCTACTTAGAAAGAAGAAAGGAAAATAAAGCCAGAACTGCTGAACAGTAGCAAATAAAGCAATCACACACTGAACAGGATATGATACTTGAACCTATTTCAGTGTTAAACCCAACTCTCATGCTTCAATCAGAACAGGTCATAGAACAATTTTTTTGTCATACATGCAAAGGGGAGGAGGAAGTGGATGTTACTAAGCAGAACTTTCAGTAAACCTTCAAACCTCCAGACCAAGCTATTTGTTCCTCTCTTACCTATAGGTTTATAATCAGTTGCATTAAATGTCCTGAAAGAAGAGCCAAAGGGACTTCTCATTCTCTCCTCCAGAAGGTCATCTTCATCATCTGCCTGCAACATAGCTGATACAGGGAGTGATTATTCCACAAATCCACCTTCCATTTGTCACTATCATTAATCAACTTAAGATCAAATCAGACTCTGACATGAATTTTCTTTTTATTTAATTGCTTGGCAAGACCCATTTAATATCTACTCTTCCAGAGCTGCCATTATTAATATTGCAGATCACTGAAACTTAATACAGAGGACAAAATTATTTTCTCAAGCATCATCAGATCTGCCATTATACACATTTTCTTTTTCAATAGGTTGATTTTTAATCTCTCAAATGAGTTGCAATATTGCTGATGTTAAAGAAAACTGTCTTTGTCAGCAACACACGTAGCACAAACTTCCTGAAAAAAATCTAGTTCACACATGCCAGTAAGGCCTGGAGTTAGATAGACTCTCTGAAGCGTCCAGTTTTACTGAACAAGCATCTACTTATCTCAAACCAGAGGTGACCAAGAAGAGTAATATAAGACTGAAAAGTCCTACCTCCATACATAACTGTGCCAGTATAGTTGAAGACCACACGACACTGATCCAGTGCAGGTACTGTGTGTAACAAATGGAAAGTTCGGAGGTCCCACTGAAAAAATACAGGCTAAGGCACAACAAACAACTGTAAGTTTCTATTTTCTTTTCAGCAGAGTGGCAAACAACCGATTAATTGCATTCAAGAAACCTCACTGCCACCCTCTTGCAAATGTGACCGAACCGGAGTCGGCAGAGTCAGATTCCAGCACCACAATCCCTTCCACGTCTTCAAAATGAAAAAGCTCTTATTCAAAATGTCATTCCCAGTCATGAGAGGTTACTGCAGTAGCTTCAAGGTTGATTTTGGTAAGGGACGGGAAGAGAGCAGAGGTACCACAGAGTATATTAGAAAAGAAAATCTCTCTTGCTCTCTCTGCGTGTTAAGTGTTTCCTCTAGGCCATATCAGAGGCAGAATCTAGATTTAAATTAGCTAGCTGTCTGACAGTCCCTATTTAGTTGATTCACACACAAAAAACTGTTGTTACCATACATAACCTGTAACACAGCAGACCATTAATACAACTTCTGCAAACAGCTACTTGTTTATCAGTACAAATTCTTTAGGTCCCTGCACATCAGTTACCACAGTAGCCAAAGGATACAATTTCTGTGTTGACTATGACCTCTAGCCCATTGGGATGGAAAACACCACTGATGGTCATGTTGAATTTGTCAAACTTGTGGATGGCTTGTGCCGATCTGACATCCCAGAGGACACCATCATTTAGGACAAGGTCATCGGTGGGGTTAAAGGTGGCAGAGTTCTTCTTGTAGTTGTTGGCAAGATCTGGGTTAAACAGAGTCAATAGCTTGTTGCCAGTCTGAATATCATAGATCTTTTAGATTAAAAAGAAAAAGAAAGATTAGTCACAATTTGTAATGTACCTGTGCCTAAGATCACCCCATGTTCCCCCTTCTAGATTGTTTCCAGAATCACCCATTTCCCATTTTGCTTTTTCATTTCAAGTGAGAGCGTTGCAAAGACAACCCTTCCTGCCAGTCCTTTAATAGTTTTTCACAGCTGGAACCAAGTCTCAAAACATGTTTTGGCCAGTACTTGGCTTACTGCAGGTTCCCTGATATATTTCAGTACAATCAGGATTAGTTCCAAAGAAGCTAACCCCACTATGAAAAGTGGACTGGGAAGCTACAGTCACAAGGTACCACTTGGCCAGAAACTGTTTCACAAATGAAAGTGCTTTCAGAGCAGATGGTATTTACAAACATAAAAACTCCAAAGCACACAGTGAGGGCAAAAAAAACCCAGAAACTATAGAAAATTAGTTAAAATTCCTGCCATTTAGACAGAAGGGCAACTTCCTCAGCTTTGCTCCAACAAACTGTTGGAAGATAAAAAGATAAAAAGGGCTTTAGCTAGTACGAAGGGTTTATGACCATCTTCTCAGATAAATTTGATATGTAATATCCCTCAAAGCCTAGCTTTCGTTCAAACTTACACAGAAGAAAAAATTCTCTAGAACTGGAAAACAAATCTGTTTACCAGATAAACACAATATACAAATTGATCTGACTTCCAGATAAATCCAAGTTAAAAACTGGGCAGGAATGGACAATTTGCTTAAACAAATCAAGACCAATAAATAAAATCACAAGTAATTTGAATAAGTTATGTTTCATGACAATTTTTATGCTCTCTTTCAAAAGAGACAGTGCATATAATGAATGCAAATTAACACTGAAAAGAAGCAGCACTCTGAAGCTTGTGTCTGTCAAATTTGCAGGTATTCATACAAAACACTACAACAGCATTCTCTGAAAATATATTGGTAAAATTAAACTACCCAAAAGCAAGCTGCAAATCTGGAGGGGCACAAGGAGGACACTTTTAAGAAGGACACTTAATAGGCTATTTCCCACAGCTGTTGACTGAGCCACTGTTTACAGTGGAACTTCTATTATTATTAGCATTATTATTATTATTACTATTACTGGAAAATAAGGCAAAGGAGGTAACTTTGGCAGCAGGGGGGGAAGTCCTGCATGACCTCTCTGAAATGAACAAAATAAAGCAGATTCTACAATTGCTCAGAATACTAACCACAGAGGCAAAACTCTGAACACTGCTTGTGCTACAGTTGGTTTGGAATGGTTGAGTTTATACCCTTAGACACAGGGAGAAGTTATTTGACACTTTCAAAGCTTTCCTCTAAAGCCTCTCAGTTCATCAGTTACACAGCATCATAGCACCCAGATCTGTTAATAAATGTCCTATGAAGAATAATATTCTTGTCACAGCTTCACAACCATGACTTTTACTAGTACTTACATGGGCGATGTCTCCTTTTGTGCCAATGACCCTATCCTGAGAGTGCTTGCTGAACTCCACATAGTGGTCATCAGGGAAGGAATGCCTGTAGATACAATCAGTGAAAAAGTCAAGGAACTGCCAATTCAAACCGCCTGTGTGAACCAAACACTACTGCAACACCTCCAGCGAAGGTTTCAGCAATGCAGAAAACTAAAAATGTAGAAAAGACTTTCCTTTGCCATTGACCACGGCATATTACAATGCTAAAATGCTCCACTGGCATTTGCAGGAAAATATGTTACAGACACAGCCTTTACAGCAGACCAGTGAAAAACCAAGCAACAAATTCACAGACTTGTCATCAAATTAGTACCGCAACAGGGTCTGCCATAAACATAACACTATTTAGAGGAGTGAGCAATGAATGGCATCATGAATGTTCAAATGCACATGCAGGCCTGAGGCACGTTAAACTTTTCATCTGAAGAATGCCCTCAACTGACCTAAAACAGGTCATGCCAAAACTGCTGCTTACAACTAAGGTAGACAACAGTCAAACCTTTTAAATACAAAGAGCCTTCCACCCATTTTTTATGGGAAGGAACAATTGTAAATAGTGAAATCAATTTTAAATAGCTCTATCCAGGTCTGAAATAGCTTGTATCCAGGTCTGAAAATTTCACCATGCAAATCACCATGCTAGTAAAACTCTAACTGGCTAGAGAAAGATTGTCAAGATAATTTACAAACATGAGAATAAAAATACAAATGTCTGTCTGTGCCTTCAAGGACAACAGTGCTTTTACTGATCTATCTTGCATTAAATAGGACTTTAGATAGTTAGAATTTAGCAAAGCTGTCTGTACCAGTAAAATAGGGAAGATACTAAACATAAGGGAGCACATTTGTTTTTTTCACAACAGGCATTGTGAGAGCTGTGCTGTACTGTTCTTTCATAGAGTTTGTTCTTAGGGTTTCTGCCTATATTGAATGGTTCTTCTAACTGCAACATACCCCACAGCTGGATCAGAGTATACCTACTTCATATCAAAGACAGACTTCATTCCCCACAATGCAGACAGAGGTTGGCTCCACGTAGCAGATGTCAGCAATAAAGATCCATCCTGTATTTCCAGATGGGAGTGGAGGGGGAGGAAGGGAAAAGAACACCACTTTAACTTACACTTACAAGATGAATTTAGGAACTATAGCAGATTTTGTGCTTACTAAACTACTCCTATGGGGATAAAGTCTAGGTATCTAACCCTACGTATAATATAAAGAGCCCTCAGCAGACGAAGAAAACGTTACTGATAACAATGGGAACGATGTATGATGTTAATAGCAGATAAAATCAGGATAATCCATGCCTAAACTTTGATGCCCTGTGAGTAGAGTTCATTCTGCTTATAAATCAGTTACCTTTTATTTCTTCCTAGAATCATCCCCCAAAAGATTTCTTTCTCCAACAAAGGGAGGTTATATAAACTCCAATATCTTAGCTCACATTTATCTTAAATACATAGTCAATTTAAGTATTTTTCCACTTCCAGACATATATATTCATTACTTATGAAGGCACACAGCCACCATCATCTTCTCTATTATCTTGGGAAGAAAAAAATAATTGTAGAACTCACAGAGAGGGAGTATGTAACTATTACAAGTACTATAATGACAGGCATGGCAGGCCAGCCAGTAGGTGCACTTTAGATGTACATATCCAGACAGGCCCAAAACATACCAGGGCTTAGGCTGTGAGAACTTCTAGAACTCAGAACAGGTCTTTGGTTACTTACCCTGGATGGCTCAAGGTGCGTGATGGCGGAGTTATGGCAGTTGTAACTGGCCTCTTCCTGTCCACTGAATACGTTATAGAGTTTCAACTGCCCCGTGCAAGTACCCAGCATTAAGAATCGTTCTCTGGCAGAAAACGCGCAACAGGTAAAGCCACTCTCATCCTCATTTGCTTCCCTGAACACAGAAATTGGACGGAACCTAGAGAAGGTAGAGAGACAAGGGTCACCCAAAAGAGAGAAGAAAGGCAAAACTGAAATGCTGCATGATGATATTAAATCCAGTCCTTAAGAGTCATGTAGGTACAAGTTATAGCTTTCTTCTAGGACAAGCTATGTGTCAGTTGTAAGACTAGTGCTCAAGTGAGTGTATTACAACAATGTTAGCAAAACAAACCCTGAAATGTTGCAAAGTACTTCTGTTAAAGCACATCATTAAGTTGAAGTACTTGGAGTCTGTCTTCAAAGTTGGATTGATGGAAAACCTGTAATGCCATCACCTGGATAAGTACTGACAGCTAGTAAAAAATTTTCTAACAGTTCTGAAACACTCAACGCAAGAAGGCACAGCACATCAGCCAAATAACTTCCTGTCATCATAATTTCCCAAGGTGATAGTGGTTTCACTGTGAAGATCCTTTCATTTACGTGTCATCTTTATTTTTATAAACTTTACATCATCTTCCTACTTAACCTCAGCAAAGAAAGGCCACATAAAAAGGCTAGCAACTTGTGCTGCGGATTCAGCTGCAAGAGCAAAATATGGATTCTGCTGTCCTGCATCTGTCAGCCAACCATCCTGAAGGCTATGCTACAGTCTCGTGTAAAACTGATGTTACATACGTACCTTCCAAAGAACAAAGAGCTATGAGCTTCATTAGTCAATGTTGCTAATGAATTAACAAGATACTGAAAATAAAGTGTGCTTTATACACTAAGGGTCAGTACTAAGGACAAGAGAAACAGAACAACTTCTAAAAATGCCTTTCAATGTTCTCCCACTTGTCACTGTTGACTTAAAACACTTTTCTCTCCAAGGATACTCTGCTGTGGAACTGCACAGCCTGAACCCAGGTGAGGCTTTTTGGCACAGGGTACATCCTGAGAGGGATCAAGAAACATTTTTCTTCCTTACCTGCTAAATATAAGGTGTCTATCAAAGCAGCCACCATCCACCCCTCCATACTTCGGAAAGGCTGCCCTGCGGGTCAGCCGTGAGGTAAAGTTAGTTGGCGCTTGGCGCCTCTGTTTTGGCTCAGGACACTGGTGGGGAGTAAAGAGAGAGAAAGGGGGACAGGTGGCAACAGGGTTCTTGCAGCGGGCATGCTGCTCCCTAAGGTACTCTGTGATTATACTGTCCAGTGTGGGTGGGGAAGGAAGGTGTCTGTCCAGCTGCTTTTTGATAGCTGGGCTCTGGCTGTAGGCGCCATGGTCCGATTTTTGTCGCAACACTCTGATTTTTCTGCCGTTGCAGGGAGATGGCCTCTCCCTGACAAAGCTAATCCTGCCAATCAGAGGAGAGTTGCTAGCATAAGAAGGGCCTGGAAGGGCAAGTGGACCTTGGGCTGCAGATGGCCTTGCCTGAGCATGGACAGAGGTGGCAGTGGAACCTACAGAAGTGTGGCTACTCAAACGGGCTGAGATGCCATTAGCTATGCGAGGAGTGCGAGGCAGGGTCACAGGAGAGGCAGCAGCCGCAACAGGGGTGAAGGCAGATGAATGAGATGCTGCAGTCATGGGTAGGTCAGCCTCTTTAGTAAGGACAGATGCAGTTTCTCCTAGGCCCTTAGAGATGAGATGGTTCCGAATCAGGAGCAGCAGCTCCTTCTCTGGAAACGTGATCCTTGACTGGGCCACCACATCCGCTTTCTGCAACCGAGCCAGAGAGACATCTGTGCCAATCAGCAATGGCTTCCCCGAGACACGCTCTATCAGCTCAGCAGCGTATTTGCAGAACTTCACATGCTCACTGCGCTTGTCCTGAAGCACTGGCTCTTTCATCAGCTGCTGAATTTGACAGCTGCTGAAGAGGGGGAGCTTGCTGATAATCTGCCGGACAGTACTGCTGCGTGAGAGCCCCACCAAGGCTTTGCAGGCTAATGCTCGGATCTGATCTGCATCTGTGATCGGCATCTTTATAGACAGCAATGACAGCAGCACTTTGATGCCATTGTTAGACTGTACCACATTCCACATCTTAGCTAATGTGTGCTCACTGCTCTTGGGGGCCTGAGGAAGCTTTCGCCGAGGAGTTCCAGAGATGAATTTGCCAATACTGGAGATCCGATTATCTGGGCCACATACACAATTGATGATGATCTGAAGGGCTGATTTCTGAATTTCGGCATCATGGATGAAAAATTCACCCTCAGCAACTCCAAGGATGATACTAATACCTAGTGAGGGAAAGAAACAGTTTCTTTAGCGCTCTAAAATGTATCTTACATGGTTCATCGGGCTAGTAAGGGAGTCTTCAACAAATCTGAGGAAAATCAACAATTCTCTTCATTCTGGGAATTTCCGAGTTCTGCTAACTAGTGTAAGAGGTATTCTTCTACCTCCCTGGAAAAATGTTTTCCTACACTGATGTTCCTCCACTTCATCATCAGTAAGCAAGGAGTCAAACAATCTTTCAGAGAAGGTGATCAGGCATGGCCCAGGAACACAAAATCTGAGATACCTGGCTGTCCTGGTTTCGGCTGGGATAGAGTTAATTCTCTTCCTA